TAAAAAGGTGTTAATGTTGAATGTGAGTCTATGCTTAATGTATATGGTGAAGAAACCTGGGACACAGAAAACAGCATCCATAACAGACTGTTGGCTGTCAGTCTGAGTGGTTTCTGAAACTTCAGAAGCTGCTAAGAATGGCAGATGCCAGAGCCAGCACAACAGCCATGGACAGGCATCTACAGCTGAGACCTGCAGATCATCAACACAGTATGGAAAAACATAGCAGCAAAAACATTACAGTTTCTATTTGATAGCTAAAAGAAAGTCTCTTTTGAGAGGAATTTCCACAACCAGCTCTCATGGAACTAATAGCTTTCACCCTGAAGGAAAAACTGCCATAAAATGCTGCTATAACTAAAAGTGTCTCTGGCCTGAGAACGAAAGTAGCAGAGATGCTTGTTTGAACTAAAATTGTTAACTGCAAAATGTTTTTGACTGTAAAATGTTTCTTCATATTTGGAAGTGGAATTCTAGTACCAGAATTTATTTGAACTTTTTGAACTTACAAAAAAAATTAAATAAAACTATAAAAAGGTTTTGGTTATGAATTTCTTCATATTTGGAAGGTTGGTACCATAATTTATTATTTGGATTTTTGGACTTAAGAAATGAGTTGGACAGTAATGATTTCATTACAGTGGGACAGTTTGAATTTACTTATACATATAGACTGTATCCATGGTGGTGACTTAGGAACAGTTTTATGGAATTATTTGTGTTAAAAATGGAACTGCTAAAATGGAGAAATTTATTATTATCATTATTATTATTATTATTAATTTTACCTAGGCTCAAGATTCAGTTTTGTATATGCACATATGCTTTACTAACTGTGGTGATTCATGAATTGTTTTGTGTTAAAATGGAACTGTTTATGTAAAAATGAAACTGCTTAAAAATGGAGAAGTTTGGGTTTTTTGTTTTTTCTAAAAAAATTATAAAGAAAAGGGGGAGTGTTAATATTCCTCAGTCTATTAAATTTAAAAACATTTTAGTGTTACCTGAGTGACTTAATGTTATGTTTTGTATAGTTCTATTAAGAAATTGTTTTTGTATGTAGGTTTATAAGTAAGTATTGATGAGTTTAGTGAGAATATTGCCTTTGAATATATGTTTGTAGGAATTATAATGGTGTATAGTAATGTTCATGTTAGAATCATTATGTTAACCTATTGATATAATGCACCAGTGCTGTAGATATCATTCTATATAAATAAAACACTGATGGTCAGTGACCAGGCAGGAAGTATAGATGGAACAAAGAGAGAGGAGAATTGGGGAAACAGGAAGAAGGAGGAGAGACACTGCAGCCACCGCCAGGAGAAGCAGCATGTAAAGATGCCGGTAAGCCACCAGCCACGTGGCAAGGTATAGATTTATAAAAATGGATTAATTTAAGATATAAGAACAGTTAGCGAGAAGCCTGCCACAGCCATACAGTTTATAAATAATATAAGCGTCTGAGTGATTATTTTATACGTGGATTGTGGGACTGCGGGGCTTGGTGGAGCCTGGAGAGAAGCTGTCCAGCTACAAATGGCGCCCAATGGCTCGAGTTTCCACCTTAAACTTGAGAATATTTAATAACCAATTTTAAACAGAGCCAAAACCAGGTTCCTTCTTCATGTCTCACAAGGGCAGCTAGATAACACAAAATGCGGGTTTGAACTACTGGCGGGTTCCTGGCGTTTGCATTTGACCAGCAGTATGGCGGTAATAAGGTGTCTGCCAGCGGCACATTACGCTGTGTGGTAGATTTAGTCTTTACTAGTATTTAAAAAAAAAAGGTTTCTGGGCTACACGCTGCTTTGATAAAAGCTTAGAC